AGGAAGGAAGGAAGGAAGGAAGGAAGGAAGGAAGGAAGGAAGGAAGGACATCTTACACTCACCAAAGGAAAAACCCCTGAAAATGATCTTTCAGTTCCTACTGTCTACCCCAAATGCAAGAGCACCCCACTGCTGTGGAATATTTAACTATGTAAGGATGGGTTACATTTGTTTATGTTGCATTTGTTTAACTATGAAAAGATGTGTGTCTATGTTACCTTGCCTGCCTAAAGCATCTGACTGGTCTAATAAAGAGCTGAATGGCCAATAGCTATTGTTAGAGGTGAGGCTGGCAGAGAGAGAAAATAAAAGAAACCTAGGAAAGAGAGGAAGGAGGAGAGAAAGAGGGAGATGCCCAGGACCGACCAGCCAGCCAGCCAGAGACAACAGAAAAAGAAGATAATACAGACAGGAGGAAAAAAGTAAAAAGCCCTGAGGCAAACAGTAGATAATGAAAAGGACTTTAAAAAAATTAAGTCCAAAGAGCTAGCCAGGAATGAGCCTAAGCTAGGCCGAGATTCATAACTAAGAAGTCTCCATGTCATGATTTGGGAGCTGGTTGGTGGCCCAAAAGAAAACACCTGGTACAACCCACATCTATAAAAGAAACAGTACTACAGCTTAAATCACATGCTGATCGTCACACACCAGTGTGGGAGACTTCAATAACCCACTCTTGCCAATAGACAGGTCATCCAGCCAAAAACTAAGCAGAGAAACACTGGAGCTAACTGGTTATAAATCAAATGAACCTAACAGACATCTACAGAACATTTCGCCCAAATACAAAAGAACACACCTTCTTCCCAGCATCTCATGAACCTCCTCCCAAGCTGACCACACACCTGCTCACAAAGCTCGTCTCCGAGAAACTGAAATAATCCCTGACCTATCAGACCATGGACTGGAGCTGGAGGTCAGCAGCAGCAACAGAAAGCCTACAAACTCGGAAACTCAACAACTCTACTGAATGAAAACTAAACTAAGACAGAAAGAAATTAAAGACTGACAACAACACACCCAATCTTATGGGACACAATGAAAGCAGTGCTAAGAGGTTCAAAAGTTCACAGCACTAAGTGCCCAAATAAAGAATTTGGAGAAATCTCACACTAGCGATTTAACAGCACACCTGAAAGCTCTAGAGCAAAAGAAAGTAAGTTCACCCAGGAAGAGGAGCTAGCAGGAAATAATCAAACTATGAGCTGAAATCAATAATACAGAAACGAAGAACAATACAAAGAGTTGGTTCTTTGAGAAAATCATTAAGATAGACAAACCTTTATCCAAATTAACTAAAAAGCTGATAGAGAATATTCAAATTAACAAAATCAGAAACATGAGGGGGGCCTAACAACAGACACTGAGAAAATTCAAAAAAATAATTAAGTCATACTTTAAAAACCTGTACTCCACAAAATTGGAAAATCTAAAATTAATGGATTCAAAAAAATAATTAAGTCATACTTTAAAAACCTGTACTCCACAAAATTGGAAAATCTAAAATTAATGGATAATTTTCTCAATAGATCCCACTTACCTAAGCATCACAATCAGATAAAGAGATCTATAACTCTATGGAATTAATGCAGTCATTAAATGTCTCCAAACTTAAAAAAAGCCCAGGGCCAGATATCTTTACTGCAGAAGTCTACAAGACTTTCAAAGAGGAACTAATACCAATACTCCTCACACTATTCCACAAAATAGAAATAAAAGGAACATCACCAAATTAATTTTATGAGGCAATAGTTACCCTGACACCCAAACTACACAAACATTTAACGAAGAAAGAATTACAAATCAATCTCCCTCATGAACATAGATGCAAAAATGCTCAATAAAATAATCACAATCCGCCCCCCAAAGGTTGGGCACTGGTGGCACACACCTTTAATCTCAACACTTAGAAGGCAGAAGCAAGCGATCTCATGAGTTGGAGACCAACCTGGTCTATAGAGCGAGTTCCAAGAACAGCCAAAGCTATACAGAAAAAAACTTTCTCAAAAAACAAAACAATAAAAAGCCTCACAAACCAAATCCAAGAGCACATCAAAAAGATCATCCATCATGACCCAGTTGGCTTCATCCTAGAGATGCAGAAACGATTCAACATTTAAAAATCAGTCAATGTGATCCACCATATAAACAAACTGAAAGGAAAAAAACCATGATCATCTCAGATGTTGAAAAGTCTTTGACAAAAATCTAACTCCCCTTCTTAAAAAGTCTTGGAGAGATTACGGGAACAAGGGCCATACCTAAACATAATAAAAGCAATACACACCACGCAAACTGCCAACATTAAATTAAATGGAGAGAAACACAAAGAAATTTCAGTAATATCAGAGACAAGGCTGTCCACTTCTCCCTTTCCAATACAGTACTTGAATTTTTAGCTAGAGCAATAAGACAACTGAAGGAGATCAAGGGAATACAAATCGGAAAGGAAAGGAAGAAATCAAAGGATCATTATTTGCAGGTGGTATGACAGTCTACATAAGTGATCCGAAAAATTCTACACCTGATTCACTTTCAGTTAAGTGGCTGGATACAGAATAACTCACAAAACTCAACAGCCCTCCTATATAGAAATGATAGACTGAGAAATACATCAGGGACACAATACCCTTCACATCAAATAATAAAAAAATATCTTGAGGTAACACTAACCAAAGAAGGGAAAGACTTGTATGATAAGAACATCAAGTCACTAAAGAAAGAAACTGGAAAAGATATCAGAAGATGGAAAGATACCCCATGCTCAGGATCAGTAGGGTCAATATAATAAAATAAATGTAATAAAAATGGCCTTCCAACCAAAAGCATTACAACACAATTCTTTACAGACCTTGAAAGGACACACTCAACTTTATGGGAAAACTGAAATCCCAGAATAGCCGAAACAATCGTGACCACGAAAAGTACTACTAGGCCATGCAGTGGTGGTGCCTGCCTTTAATACCAGCATGCTTAACAACGGAAAATGCACCAACATAACACCCTGTGTGGGTGAGCAGAAAACCACAGAAAGATAAAATTAGGAAAATCATGTGTTAAGGAAAACCTATTTCACCTGTAGGTAAAACAGGAAAAGGACAAAGCCTGTTACAAAATGGGTAGGGAAAATGCATGCATGTACACACACACTCAACGCATGCAAACTAGCTTCTTGTGACAGTTTGCAGATCTCAGAACACCTGACCATGGTGTTGCAGACTTTGTTTTTCAAGACAGGTCTTCTCTGTGAGACAGTCCTAGTTGTCCTGGAACTCACTCTGTAGAGCAGGCTGGCCTCAAACTCACAAATATCCTCCTGCCTCTACCTCCTGAGAGCTGGGATCAAAGGCGTGCATCACCATCTTCCGGCCTGTTGCAGACTTTTAAAGCAGAGGCAGGCGGATCTGTGAGCTCAAAGAACACAGCAAGTTCCAAGCAAGTCAAGACTACACAGTGAGACACTACCTCCAAAATAAACCAACAACAAACAAATAAATAAACCAACCTGCCTTTTTTTTCCCTCCCAAGTCTACATATACTCCCCAGAGCAGCATTTGAGAAGCAAAAAGTTCAATTTTTAAAAACCTAAGTCTGGAGAGATGGCTCAGAGGTTAAGAGCACTGGTTGCTCTTCCAGATGTCCTGAGTTCAATTCCCAGCACCGACATTGTGGCTCACTACCACCTATAATGAGATCTGGTGCCCTCTTCTGGCCTGCAGGCAGACATGAAGGCAAAACAATTTATACATAATAAATAAATAATTTTTTTAAAGCAAAAAACAAAAACCATAGCTTAACAGAGATTTGTAGATGAGATTTATAGGCCTAGCAAAACTTGGTTCTTTTGCAGGGCTGTGGTGGCGCACACCTTTAATCCCAGCACTGGGAAGGCAGAGGCAGGTAGATCTCTGTGAGTTCGAGGCCAGCCTGGCCTACAAGCGCTAGTTCCAACAGGCTCCCACTAGGGGGGTAGACGCATGCCTCTGGAGATCAAACCTAGGGCTTGTCCAAGACAAGTAAGCAAAAACATGATTTAAAAATTTTATGATTGCATAACTGTGTGCATGTATGCTATGGCATACGTATGAAGACAAGAGGACAATTTTGGCCGGTGGTGGCGGTGCATGCCTTGGGAGACAGAGGCAGGTGGATCTCTGTGAGTTCGAGTCCAGCCTGGTCTACAAGAGCTAGTTCCGGGACAGGCTCCAAAGCTATAGAGAAACCCTGTCTTGAAAAACCAAAAGGGGGGGGGAGGGAGAGAAGGAGAGAGAGGGGAAGGGAGGAGAGAGAGGAAGGGAGGGAAAGAGGAAGGAAGGAAGGAAGTGATCTCACCCCCACTCCGAAAGCTCTGTGGCTCTTAAAGCAGCTTCCGTTGTCTACCTGGTCATGGCTTCTACCAACTAAGCAAGGTGTTAGCCTAGGCTTTTAGTTGAGAGAACAGAAAAGCTAAAGGTTCCTCCAATGACTACAGTATTAAACATGAATAAAACCGAATCCCAGCCCGGCAGTGGTGGCGCACACCTTTAATCCCAGCACTCAGGAGGGAGAGGCAGGCAGATCTCTGAGTTCGAAGCCAGCCTGGTCTACAAGATCTAGTTCCAGGACAGACTCCAAAGCAAGAAGAGACAGTGAAACCCTGCCTTGAAAAAACAAAAACCAAACCAAAACAAAACAAAACAAAAAACCTAATCCCTTGAGTATTGTGGGCCATAGTTAAATCATTTCTTATTACATATGATCGCTAAGACCTGAGGCAGGACTACCACAGAAGTTCAAGGCCATCCTGGGTTACAGAGACTGGGTCTCATAGAAGCAACAAAAATCTCTTATCTTTTCATTTTCATTTTTGTTCCCCAAACAAGATCTTACTATGAAGACCAAGCTGGTCTTAAACTCACAGAGATCTGCCTGCTTCTGCCTCCTGATTAAAGGTGTGCGCCATTACACTTGGTCAAAAATGTATCTTTTAATTTATCAAGACTGTAACTAGTTGGGCATGCCTAGGTACCTCAGAAACAGCCAGGTGAGGTCCACAAGATGGGTTAGCGTAACAGGTAAGGAGGTTGCTGTCAAGTCTGATGAACAAAGCTGGGTTCTTGAAATCCACGTGATAGAGAAAACTGACTTCTACAAGTTCTGACCTCTGACCTCATACTCAGGCTATGACCTTCCCCTCAAATCAATACATACAGTAAAAAAAAATTAATAAAAATAAACAATTTAAACACAGAAGTTGTGGGATGTAAGGAACAGTGAATCTGAGCCAGGCGGTGTTGGTGCACACCTTTAATTCCAGCGCTTGGGAGGCAGAGGCAGGAGAATCTCTGTGAGTTTGAGGCCAGCCTGGTCTACAAGAGTTCGTTCCAGGACAAACTCAAAAGGCACACAGAGAAACCCTGTCTCAAAAATCAAAAACAAAAAAACAAAAACAAACAACAACAAAAACCCAAACCTGATGGAGGGAAACGAGGAAGAATCCCAACCACCTCAGGAAGTTAGTCAACCAAGAATTGCCCACATTCCAGAAGCAACTCATACCCACCTTCAACCATTATCACTAAAGATCACTGTGACCACTGTCACCAGTGTCGCCTATGTCCCTTCAGGGATGCTCCAGGTCTCCCCCACCCTGTGTCCTACTCGCCCCAGCTCAGAGCTAGCCTCTCGCCCACCCCCCCAATAAATTTCTGACTTCTGCAGCATTCTGTGGCCTCCGATCACCACAATGCCCCTTTGAAGCCAAACCCTTACAACACACCCTCATGCCCTAGCCAGAGAGGAAGCCACCAAACACAGGAGAGAGTTCTCTCACAGCTTCACACTGAGTAAGACACTCCACATATGACTCAAGTAGCAAGTGTCTGAAGTCTGGTGTATTTGGGAGGCTGAGGTAAAGGGTTTACTTGAGCCCAGGAATTTGAGGTCAATCTTGGCAACATAGTAAGAATGTCTCAAAAATAGTTGGGCAGTAGTGGTGCATGCCTTTAATCCCAGCACCCGGGGCAGACACAGGTCACTGAGTTCAAAGCCAGACTGGTTTACAAATGGAGTTCCAGGAACCAGGGCTTTCACAGAGTAATCCTGTCTCAGAAAACAAATAAAAATAGAAAGCAGCGAACCAAGCTCAGCAAGTATAATACCTTACCTCACATTCTGAGTGGGATTCCACCTTTCAGAGGGCAGTTCTCCACTTTGTGGGTCATCTACAGGCGGATGAAGAATTGAAATGCATACATCTCCATTCTACAAAACAACATTACGACATTCAGTAAATACATAAAAAAACTGATGAAAGCAAGGTGCGGTGACACACACCTGCAACCCCAGTACTCAGACTGAGGCAACAGAATCTCAAGTACAAGGCCAGTCAAACCTGGTCTACACACACACACACACACACACACACACACACACACACACACACACGTCTGTGATAAAGGCCAGGCATGATGGTACGTGCCTTTAATCCCAGTACTTGATAGGCAGAGGCAGGCAAACATATGCGTTTGAAGTTAGCCTGGTCTAAATAGCAAATTCCAAACCAGCTAGTGCTACACAGTAAGAAGCTGTCTTTAATAACACAAACAAACAAAAACAACAACAAAAACCCACCAAAACATGCGATGAATAAGGTACATAATTTATTTGCTAAAGAGTTCGTTTCTTTTGATTATGGGAAAACCAGTTCTCCATGTTGAAGTTGAAGGGAACTAAATAGGATAAACATTCACCAGGACCATGTTTGGTGGCACATGCCTATAATAATCACAACACTCAATGAGATAAGAAACAAGAGGATCACTCAAAGTTTGGGGCAGCCTGATCTACATACATGTCAAGTTCCAGGTCATCCAGGGCTGTGTAGCAGGGCTGACCTTGAACTCAAGAGATCCATCTGCCTCTGCCTCTGCTGGGATCAATGGTGTGTGCCAAATCATGTTTTTTTAAGAATCAAAACTGGGAGATAAGAGTTAAAAACCTTTTTGAATTTAGCTGAGTGGTGGTGGTGCACACCGTTAATCCCAGCACTTGGGAGACAGAGGCAAGCAGATCTCTGTGAGTTAGAGGCCAGCCTGGCCTACAGAGCACATGCCAGGACAACTAGGGCTGTTACACAGAGAAACCCTGTCTCTTCAAAAAAAAAAAAAAAAAAAAATTAACTTAGCTGGAGTCAGGGAAGGGACCAGGAGCTGATGCAGAGGCCATGGAGGGGCGCTGCTTACTGGTTTGCTTCCTATGGCTTGCTCAGCCTGCTTTCTTATGGAACCCAGGACCCCCAGCCCAGGGAAGGCACCACCCACAATTAAGAAAAGCCCTACAAGGTTCCCTACAGACCAATCTTACGGTGACATTTTCTCAACTGAGGCTTCCTAGCTTGTATTGAAGCTAACACACAACTAACCCACGTGTCTGTGTGTACACTAGTGCACGTGCCTAAGGAAACCTAGCCCACCAGAACCTAGAGGTCAAGGGTCGTGAGCATTCTGACTTAGCAATTCAACTCGAGTCCTCTGCCACAGCAGAGTGCTCTTAGCCACTAAGCCAAACTCTCCAGATACATCTTTAAAGAATTTTTTAATTAAAAAAAAATGCTTTTGTTTGTTTGTTTTCAAGACAAGGTTTCTCTGTGTAGCCCTGCCTGTCCTGGAACTCACTCTGTAGACCAGGTTGGCCTCAAAATCCACCTGTCTCTGCCTCCTGTTTGCTGGGATTAAAGACACGCACCACTCCTGCTCAGCTTAATAAAATTTTAATGATTTTTGTTTTTATTTACAGCACCTTTAAAAAAAAAAGATTTGCTTATTTCTATATGCACTGGTGTTCTGCCTGCATGTATGTCTGTGTGAGAGTGCTGGATTCCCGGAACTGGAGTTACAGGTAGTTATGAGCAGCCATGTGGGTGTTGTGAATTGAACCAAGGTTCTCTATAAGAGCAGACATAAGGGCTCTTAACCCCTAAGCCATCTCTCTAGCCCCCTCCAAAACATTTTTAAAGAATTTTAGGGGCTGGAGGGAAGTTAAAGAGGCTATTTGCTCTCCAGAGGACCCAGGTTCAATTCCCAGCACCCACATGGCAGTTCACAACCATATGTAACTCCAGTTCCATGGGATCTAAGACCCTTTCCCAGCCTCTTCAGGCACCAGGCATGCACATGATACATAGAGATACCCATGCAGGCAAAACACCCATACATAAAATACTTATATTTTGTTTATTTTTTGAGTCAGGGTTTCTTTGTGTAGCCCTAGCTGTCCTGGAACTCATTCTGTAAACCAGGCTGGCCTCAAAAAACTCGGAGAGTGGCCTGTCTCTACCTCCAAAGTGCTAAGATTAAAGGTGTGTGCCTTTAATATTTTTAAGAGAATAAAATTTTAGGAAACTAAGTATCAAATAGTATATTCTAAAGCTAAATTACAATTGGATATCAAAGAAAGGTAGACGACAGAACACAGTAAGAAAGAATGTATATGTAGAATATGAAAAAAGACAAGAGGCTTTGTGGTTAGGGAAGCTTTTATATAGACCTCTAATACTGAGTAAATTTCATAAATTTTGACATGTGTCTGCCTAGAAAAATAAATCCACATCATAAGCATTAGAGCAGGAGCTGGGGAAATAGCTTAGCTGGCAGTGTTTGTTCCACAAGCATAAGGCCCTGAACTGAACCCCCAGCACCACATACAGAGATGGAACAGTGGAACACGCTCATTATCTCAGCAGAGATGCTTCCTTGGGCTACCTATGGGCTCCAGAGTGAGACCTTGTATCAAAAGAAACAAATTAAATGGCTCCTGAGGAACGACACCCAAGACTGACTGCTGGCCTCGGTTTAGTAACACATGCAATCACAAACTACGTGCACCAATATACAACAAATAAAGATGTAAAAAAAAAAAAATCAATACCTGATAAATATTTCCGGCTACTTCTTTCTGTTTTCTATTACTACTCTAAAAATTACCATAGCATGATGAAGTAAAACAACAAATTCAACCTGTTCACCAACATGGTGCCAAAAGCAAAAAAGGAAGCTCCTGCTCCTCCCCGCAAAGCTGCAGCCAAAGCAAAGGCCAAGAAAGCAGTGCTGAAAGGCATCCACAGCCACAAAAGGAAGACCCACACGTCACCCACCTTCCAGCAGCCCAAGACCCTTGAAAGAGCGCACCCAGGAGAAACACCTTGACCACTATGCCATCATCCAATGCCCCCGACCACTGAGTCAGCCATAAAGAAGACAGAGACAACACACTTGTGCTGGCTGTGGGTGTCACAGCCAGCAAGCTCCAGATTACAGAGGCTCTGAAGCCATGACACTGATGAGGCCAAAGTCAACACCCACAGAAGGCGTACGTTCAGTTGGCTCCAGATTATGATGCTCCAGATGTTGCCAGCAAAACTGGGATCATCTAAACTAAGTCCAGTTGGCTAATTCTGACAGTTGAACATCAGAGTGTTGGCATCCCCTTCCCTATACTAGAAACTACTCTTGGACCAGGAAGACGGCTCAGAGGAACTTACAACTCTTCAACAAGGAAATGCAGACACCAAAATGGTTGAAAGAAAAAAGAATTCGAAGATCTAGTTTTTAAAAAGATCAATGATCCCAATGACTACTCAAATAAATAGCTGAAGACGTTATTCAAAACTTGGATAAGCATTGTGATCTAAGGAACTCATGCTCTACCCACCTTCGGTGCTCAACTCCCATTTGAGAAGCTCCTATTTGCAGTAGATGGTGATTATTACAGAAAACCACAACTGGCCAAGGTGCAGAAAATAAGAGACTAGGAAATGCTCATCCCTAAAGGAAACACATAGCTCCCCACAGCACCCTCAGACTCGAAAGTGAAGAGAGGGCAGAAACTGTCAGAGCTAGAGCTGGGTAACTACAACGACACAGCAGGGCAGCTGCACGCGTCACTTCTGCACTGCAGAGATGACTCAGAGCACTGGCTGCTCTTACCAAGGATGAGGGCTCAATTCCCAGCACCACTCACAACTAACAACTCTCTAACTCCAAGATCTGACCTTCACACAGACATACATTCAGGCAAAATACCAATGCACAAAAAATAAAATTAAAAAAAATTCACTAAAACATCACAAATGAAGTGACCTAGGCAGAAAGTTAACTTCAGGGACTAAAGACAAGATTGAGGAATAGGTACATTCAGTTATCAACTAAAACAAACAAACAAACAACAAAAACGAAACAAAACAAAAAAAGAACTTTGGGAAATCACTAACAAACCAAATCTAAGAGTCTCTACTATGCAGGAGGCAACTGAGACACAGACAAGTAGTCCACAAAGTCTTTCCCAGGGAAGAGCACACCAGTGAATTGCCATCCCATAACAAATGGTCTGCCCTGAAAACATACATATAAGTAGCATTATAGAGGCTGAGCCAGGTGGATTTACATATGTAGTAATATATGTGTATATATACATACTTACATGCACATATCAACAACTAATGAAAAAAGAGGTCATGAAATTGAAAGAACAAGAAGAGGCATATGGGGGTGTGGAGGGAGAAGACAAAGGAGAAAGGTTATAACTAAGTTATATATAATCTCACACACACTTTTAAAAATATATAATACAACTAATTTGGGGGGGGGAACAGGATATCACTATGTAGCCCTAGGTGGACTAGAGCTTGCTATGTAGAACAGGCTATCCTCAAACTTGCATATATCTGCCTACCTCTGCCTACCAAGTATTAGGATAAAGCAATGATCTACTACATCCAGCAAACAAATATATAATAATAATAATAATAATAATAATATAGGGAGATATGGCTTCTTCATAGGACCCAAGTTCAGTTACTGGCACCCACATCAGGCAGCTCACAACTGTAATGATTGTTCTATCTCTTTAAAAGACAAGCCATGCCCACTCCCTCCCCCATCCGCTGAGGCAGACTCATCTTTAGCTTCCAGCCTGAGCTCTCTCTCTTTTCTGTCTTCCTCTAGGAGAAGCAGCTTCTGCCTCTCTCTCCACTTCTCCCCTTCCTCCCCCTCCCCCGCTTCTGTCTCTCTCTTCTCTCTCCTCTCTCTTTCTCTCTACTCTTCTCCCCTTCTCCCTTTCCCCTTCATAACTCCCCTGAATAAATATCCAACCTCACTCTGCATGGCGTTCCCATCCATGCCTCTGTCTCTTGCCTGCCCACCCGCTATGTGTCTCCCTGCCTGGAACTAGCCTGCTCAGGGACTGGTAGCTGTCTCTGCCTAGGACTGGCTGCTCTCAGGCCCTGCTGCCTGCTGCCACATGGCCCGCTACCACCGCTTGGGGACCTACAGCATTTCTGCTGTCTACTGCCACCGGGGATCCTGCAGCATTTTTAATTTTTCCATTACAACAACCACTTGTAGCTCCAGTTTCAGCAGATCTGACATCCTCTTTCGTCTTCTTCAAGCACTTGCATGGACATTCTCTCTCTCTCTCTCTCTCTCTCTCTCTCTCTCTCTCTCTCTCTCTCTCACACACACACACACACACACACTTTTTTCAATTTCATTTTTATGTGTTCATCTGTGCACTATGCATGTGCAGTGCCCATAGAAGCCATAAGAGGACCTACCATTCCTAGGACTGGAGTTACAGGTGGTTGTGAGTTACTAGGTTGAATGCTGGGAATTGAATCCAGGTCCTCTGGAAGAACAGCACACGCTCTTAATCGCTGAGCATCTCTCCAGTCCCAGAAAGAGACAGGCAGGCAGGCAGAGACAGAGTGCTCGCTGGTCAAAAGCCTGTGGCTGAGGCAGTTCTGAGTTCTCATAAAGAAGCTACTGTGCTGCCTTGTTAAGTGGACATGATACCTGCTAAGCTGCCTCCCAGGAAACCATGGTTCCGTCCCAAGACTAGTGTTGCAGTGCTCTCTCTACGACGGACAATGGCTCAGAAGGAGTCAAAGTGCAGAGAGGAAATGAAAAGTGACAGCTCAGTCACAACAGGACACCACAGGAGGGCCAGCAAGGCTCTAGATTACAGAGACTAGACATGACCTGGCAGGTGCTCCCTTGAATTCACATGGGCTATGAATGCCTTCGTAATCCCTGCACAAGACTGTCTGCCAACATCCTGCCTTGAAAGGGGAGGTGCTCACCAGGTCCCACCCTTCCTTGAGGACTTAGACAGTTAAAGGTTGCTGGAGAAGGAAAAGACAGTTTCTTCAATGGTAAAGCCACCAGTAAGATGCCCAGGCTCATGTTAGCAACCACACGAACTCATTTACAACAAAAGGTAATAAAGTAGAAAGAAAACCAGTTGGGAAGAGAAATAGAATTAGTGAGAATGGAAGTGGGACAAAAGGAGTAATGAAAAGGAATATAAATCAAAATTATATGCATGTATAAAAATATAATAAAACCCATTATAGTTAATAAATACTACTTTTTTATGGAGACAGGGTCTCTTGATCCTAAAACTCAAAGATCTAACACACACACTCACACTCACACACAAAGAAAAAGAAAAAAAGAAAGAAAAAGAAAAAGAAAAAAACCCACGCAGCCTAGTCGTCTGCCCCATGGCCGCCCCAGTCTTCAGTCACTACCAGCTGGTTTTCTGATTTAGTGCCTTATATATTCTGAACATTTAACTAAAATGGAATCATACAATATGCAACCTTTTTCTGACCCCTTTCACTTAGTCGAATGTTTCAGAGTTCCCTCCAGCCACCTCCACGGAGGCAGTGAGCGAACGAGTGCTGGAGCTCCCGTTGGTGGACACTGGAGCTGATGTCAGCGGTGCTGCTCTCTACACTGTGGGCTTCCTTTCCCTTGGTTAGATGTGGGGCCTGTGTTTAACTCCCATGGACCTTTTTCCTAATAGCACACGCACCATTTTGTGCATTAGTCAAGTCTCACCATGTGTCTGATGTGAACTCAGTTCATTCATTGTCAGGGTCTCTTTCTATTCTCCAAGCCATTGCTGCCTAGTCTGGCCTCAAACTCCTGGGCTTTGGCATTCCTCCTGCCTCAGCCTCCTAACACACACTTGTGGCTAACTCTGGCTACTTTTCAATTAGATTAATCCTTTTAAAATCCTGTGTTTTTTTAATTCTTTAAAGAACTTTGCAGACCAAGCTGGCTTCAAATGCAGGAATCCTCCTGCCTCTGACTCATAAGTATATTTCTGAGCAGTTTTTCAACAATTTTTTATGAGGTAGAAATCCAGTATCTTTTTTCTTTTTCTTTTTCCCCTGAGTCAGGGTCCTGGCTGTCCTGAAACTCACTTTGTAGACAAAATTGGCCTCAAACTCACTGAGATCCATCTGTCTCTGTCTCCCAAGTGCTGGGATTAAAGGTGTGTACCACCACTGCCTGGCCAATATCATTTTTTTTTGTTTGTGGAAATCCAATTATTAATGAGACCGCTACTTCCTACTTGTGCTAATTTTTATGTCAACTTCACATACTAAGATCATTTGGGAAGAGGGAACCTTAATGGAGAAAACGCCTCTATCGAAATATCTGTGGACAAATATTTGGGGCATTTTCTTAACCACCGATTGATGTGGATGTGCGGTTGGAGCCACCCCTGTGCATTGAGATCCTGAGCTGAATAAGAGAGTAGGGTGAGCAAGTCATGAGGAATAAGCCAGAAAGCAGACTTTCTCCACAGACTCTGCCATCAGTTCCTACCTCGGCGTCCCTCATTCAACAGTGATCTAGAATATGAAAGCCAAATAAACTTTTTCCTCCTTGGAGGAAAATTCATCACCACAAAAGAAATCACAGCAAAGATGCTCAATGAGATTGGTGTCATTTTTTGTCAAAATCTATTGATTATAAATGGGTATCACAGTTCCTGCCTAAAGTCCCAATACTTAGGAAGCTGAGGAAGGAAGATGTCGTGTTAGAGGCTAATCTGGACTACACGGCAAGATATTATCTCAAAATAAATATACTGGTAGTTATAGATATTCTGGATTATTTCGGGGTTCTCAATTCTCCATGGTAGCACTAAACTCACTTGGTGACAATAATTTCATACTATGTTTTAAATTCTTTTCAATTTTTGGAATTCTAGGTCTCTTATTATTTCTTTATAAATTTTATAATCATCTTGCTGATGTTTGGGGGGATTTTGACAAGGAACTGCTTATGCTATCTGCCCCATTAAAGCTGTCTTTACTGGAAACTCACTAGCAAAAGCAGTATATATTCTTTTTTTTTTTTTTAAATTGTTTTTTTGTCTTGATTATTTTACACTTTATTTAGGACATGTAAAAAGAACAGTACAGTAAGGACTCTTGTACACACCATCTAGTGTGTAAATACTAAGGCTCCGTCTCCCTTGCCTGGATTTAAAGACATGTGCTACAACACCCACTCCATCTTTTGTTTTTTGGGTTTTTTTTTTTGACATGTATGTATTGGATAAAAACACATGTTATATGTAGAGATCAGAGGACAGCTCTGAAGAGTCAGTTCTCTCCTTCTACCATGTGGGTTCCAGCTGTCAGGCTTGGTGGCAAGCGTCTTTACTCACTGAGCCTTCTAGACAGCCCCACTGCTGTCTTAACATTATGACTATGCTAACGACTGAAAGACAGTATTGCAGGAGGCTATTTCAGCACAGATCACCTTTTCACGTATGTCCTAGCTGGATGTCTGGAAGCCTACTTGGGAGGTTCCAAGAACTACAAATTGGAAGACAGCCTGAGATACACTATGAAAGCCAACCGTGGAAGGTAAAGCGGCTGCTCTGCGAGGCTCACGCACAACTCCAGCGCTGTTGTGATTAGCCCAAAGCTAAGATGTTCCATTTCGACCGACAGTTCTACTAGAAAGTCTCCCTGCAGGTACACTGAACTGTTCAAGAGAACCTTGGTGTAGGAGGTTCTTCTGTTCATGTGTTGCTTTCATTGGTTAATGAATAAAGAAACTGCCTTGGCCTTTTGATAGGGCAGAACTTAGGTGTGGTGGGGGGGTGGACCAGAACTGAATGCTGGAAGGAAGAAAGCAGAGTCAAGGGAGAAGCCATGGATCTTTTGCCTGAGACAGATGCCAGTTAGAATCTCCAGTAAGCCACTGCCACGTGGTGATAAACAGATTAATGGAGATAGGTTAAACTAATATGTAAGAGTTAGCCAATAAGTTAGAGCTAATGGCCAAGCAGTGTTTTAATGAATACAATTTCTGTGATTATTTAAGGGCTAAGCTAGCTGGGCGGCCAGGACAAACAAGCGGGCCTCTCCATACAACAGAACCTCACCTTGGATTTAGTCCAAAAGAGGCTCTCAAATGATCAGCAGTAACTCCTGATAGGAGGCCAGGCCAAATGTACTAGGATAAATCCCCCTGAAAAAGCTGAGTCTCTGCCCATAGCAACAGGTGACCCTTGCTGTAAAGTTAGAGGATAGGTACTTTACTAAATTTGTAAAACGTGAATGTTTACATGTGTGCATTATAATCTTAGCAACCAGCTGCAAAGGCTTAAAGTCTCCATCTTTAACTGGAATAATTATTATATATTATAAAAGTACTCTTGATTTTAAATAATTAAACCAGAGAATACAAAATACGAAACATAAACATTTCTCTGTGGGTGCAGTGAAACACAACTTCCTGATATGCACAATCCATTTCAGGGTGGGCGGGGTGTGCTGTTGTGACTGAACAGAGATCCTTGGGTATGCTAAGCAAATGCTTTACCAAGTTACACTCTCCAGCTCAAACTACTATTTTTGTGTGGTGTGATAATCAAACACAGGACCTTGACTGGTAAATCTCTAGTCTCCTTTTAAAGAACAAATCTGAAAAAAATCCACAGAGAAAGTTAAAACAGATGTCTCTTACCTCATAAATGTTGGGGTGCCACATTTTGGTCAAGAATCTGAAGGTAGGTGGTGAATATGGGTAGTCAATAGGAAATTTAATATGTGCCTGAAAAAGAAAAAAAAAGATAATGCTAATAAATGAGACAAGTTGTTCATTTGTCTAATAGTTCCCACCATTACATCCCAGAGAGAGAGAGAGAGAGAGAGAGAGAGAGAGCGCTCCTTTCTACAAATCAGGTTTCCAAGAAGTCACAGACCAGGGTTATCAGAATGTTCTTTCAGTAGATCATCAAATATTTGTGTCTTGGCTAAATGACCCAAATTCACAGATATTATCATTTTTATGAATAAAAATTCAGCTAACAGGAAAGAAAGGTAGGAGATGTGCCAAACACTGAGGCTGCTGTCCTTGCATCCAAAGGTGCCCCCTACACTAAGTTAGTCCCCATCCTCTGCTACCACTATTTTTTTAAAGATTTATTAATTATGTATATAGTGTTCTATCTGCACATATACCTGCAGGCCAGAAGAAGGCATCAGATCTCATTATAGATGGTTGTGAGCTACTATGCAGCTCCTGGGAATTGAACTCAGGACCTCTGGAAGAACAGCCAGTGCTCTTAACTCTGAGCTATCTCTCCAGCCCACTACCACTATTTTTGTACCAAACAAAACTATATGGTTTTCTAATAAATAAGAGAACAAATAATTTTTCCTTTTTATTGGTATCATGCAAACAGTATCTCCTCACTCACTAACAACATTTGACTTTTTTTTCCCCTTCTTTTCTTGGTCTTTCAAGACAGGGTTTCTCTTGTAACAGTCCTAACTATGTTGGAACTCACTTGGTAGACCAGATTGGCCTCAAACTCACTGAGATCCGCTTGCCTCTGCCTCCCAGTACTGGGATTAAAGGCATGTGCTGTACCACCACCGCCTGGCTAATGTGCACATTTTGATGCCATTTCCTTTCAGTGGTTCTTTTTATTATACAAACGCTCTTTTCCTACTCCCCCCCCCCCCAAAAAAGAACTTGCTACCATGTCTCATGACTTGAGCTCAATTTCCAGGCTTCACAGTGCCATCTCTCATGCATTTATTTCCTCAACACTAAATAAAGTTTTCAAAACTTACTTAAATTTTTTTATTTATTTCATTTTATTTATACTGAATGTTTGTGTGCATGTATGTATACGCACCATATGTGTGCCTGGTAACTTCAGGTCAGAAGAGGGCGTGTGATCCCCTGAAGCTGGGGTTATGTGGTTTACCCATCAAATTCTCACTAAACCTAACAACCTAAGTTGTAGAATTAGGCTCTACATGGTAGAATTAAGTTGTCCCATTAAGTTATCCTCTGACATTCATGCATGCACTGTGGCATGCATGCAAACACATACATAAGTAACTGTAAAAAATTTATAACTTACATACAATATGTAAAATAATTAAAAATAATTATATAATTCTTGAAGACATAAAAATACAGAGAGAAGGGGAGAGGAGCAGGTAATCATTTGAAATTAAAATCCTGGCTAAATTTACTAAAGATTTTAAATTTTTAAAAAAAGCTTATTATTAGGGGAGGAAATATGGCTCAGAGATTAAGAGCACTTTCTTGGAAGAAGATCTGAGCTCAATTCCCAGCACCTCCATGGCAGCCCACAACTGTCCATTACTCCAGTTTCAAAGGATCTTACTATGTCTGCCCTCTATGGGCACCAGAACCATGTGTGATGCACAGACATACATTTGAGAAAAACACTCATATACATAAAATTTTAAAACATGTTAAGGGATTTTTAGTTAATGAGGGAGGGTGTGCATATGAGTGCCGGTATGCACATGCACGCACGTGTCTGTATGTGGGTGTGTGCATGTGAAGGGTGTGCTCATGGAGGTCAGAGAGGGCATCAGGTCCCCTGAAACTGGCATTACAGGTGGTTGTGAATGCCCAACTTGTGTGCTCAAAACTACAAAGAGTTTTTGTTGCATCTTGGGCTCCAGGTGGGAAGAGCATGGTTGAGCTGTGCCTCTAGGCCACAATGAGCTATGTGCATCTGTCACCAAACAAGGAAGGCCATGCTCGAGTTGTCAAAATGCCAGGGCCTACAGTCATCATTGGAGCATAAATTCTAACTGGTCTTAATAATGAAAACTCAGAGTCAGCTATCAGGGGGGTGAGAGCTGAAGGATCAGAGAAGCAGAGCAGCCAGCGACTAGGGAGTTTTTTACCTCTACCAATGCTCAGACCAAAGGGGTGGTGTGGGAGGTCCTTCTGTTTATGTGTTGTTTTTACTGGTTAATGAATAAAAAAGCTGCTTTCAGATAATGGTTTAACACAGTGTAGCCAGGCCGAAAAGATAGAGAAAAAAGGTGACGTCATGGAGAGAAGTCATGGAGCTGCCAGAGGAAGAAGATGTGAGCCACCAGCCAAAACCTTTCCGGTAGGTCAAGAACCTCGTGATAAAATATAAAATAATAAAAATGGGTTAATTCTAGATGTAAGAGCTAGCCAATAAGAAGCTAGAGCTAATAGGCCAAGCAGTGATTTAATTAATACAAAAATAAAAATACAAAAAAAAAAAAAACTCGTAAGAGCATCAGGCGCTCTTAACTGTTGAGCCATCTCTCTAGCCCCTACTGAAGGTTTTAAATTAGTTACTTTAAACAGGATTATATGAAGCCATGGCTAAAAGATTAATGGAGTCCACAAAATAGACACAGTTTTTGAGTTCTGGCCAGCCTGGAACATACAGTTATGTCCTGTCTTGTATATATAAGATTAAAGGAAAGAAAGTGTTTAAAATCCTAAAGGAAAGGAAATCATTAACTGTAGCAAACCATTTCCATCAAGGTAAGGGAAGATGGAGGTAGGAATGTGGTTTGAAAGAAAATGGTCCCTAAAGTGTGAGGCACTATTAGGAGGTGTGGCCTTGCTGGAGGAAGTATGTTACTGTGAGGGTGGGCTTTGAGGTCTATTTTGTGAAAGCATCCCTCATTGTGACACTGAGTTCACATCCTGTTGCCTTTTGATCAAGATATAGCTAGAACCATGTCTGCCTGTGCCAGGATGCTGCCATGCTCCCCGCCATGATGATAATGGTCTGAACCTCTGAACTGTAAGCCACCACCCTCAATTAAATGTTTTCTTTATAAGAGTTTGGTGTAGGAGGTCCTTCTATATTTGTGTTGCTTTCATTGGTTGAATAAAGAAAGTACCTTGGCCTTTTGATAGGGCAGAACTTAAGATAGGCAGAGGAGACAGAACTGGATGCTGGGAAGAAGGACAGTGTGGCAGACTCCATGGTTCTTCTGCCTGAGACGGACGCTGCTTAGACTCATGCTAGTAAGTCACAGTCAAGTGGCAATACACATTCATGGAGATGGATTAAACTAATATGTGAGAGTTAGCCAATAAGGGGCTGGAGATTAACGGGCCAGGCAGCAATTTAATTAATACAATTTCTGTGTAATTAGTACATTTACACAATGGAGTACTACACAGCAGAAAAAAATAATGATAGCTTGAATTTTGCAAGAAAATGGATGGAGCTAGAAAACATTATTTTGAGTGAGGTAACCCAGACACAGAAAGACAATTATGACATGTTCTCACTCATAGGTGATTTTAAACATAAAGCAAAGAAAGCCAGCCTACAAACCACAATCCCAGAGAACTTAGACAACAATGCAGACACTAAGGGAGACTTCTATAGCTTTAATCTACATGGGAAGTAGAAAGTAGAAAAAGACAAGATCTCCTGAGTAAATTGGGAGCATGGGGACCTTGGGGGAAGATTGAAGGAGGGAGGGGAGAGGTAGGGAAGGGAGCAGAGAAAAATGTAGAGCTCAATAAATATCAATTAAGAAAAAAGAAATAAATCAGCAGATTGATTGGCCACAAAACTGACACCAAAAAGTCAACCAAAATTCTATAAGCTAACAAGGGGGAAATTAAGAATACTAAAATTAATTTACAACAGAAAGAAGATGAACCAGATAGATGTACTGGCACATGTCTATAATATCAGTATTTTGGAGGTGGAAAAGAAGAATAGATAGTTCAGAGGAAGTCAAGGATATGAAACAACATCCCATTTCAAAAACAAACTTGGCACTTTCGTGCATACTTGTAATCCAAAGTCGTCAAGGCCAGCCTGGGCTACATAGAGTAACCCTTTATAGAAACACTATAAAGGAAATAACTTTGTAATGTAAGATATAAATACAAAAAGTCACTTACAGCAAAGGACCTGAATGAAGGCGCCAAAGAGAAATACAGCATACTGCTTACCAGCCTATTCATGGGCTAAGAATTTGAAACGTATATATGAAAAGAACCTCTTACACAGTGAGCCAACAATTTTTTAAAATGTAGAGTAGTAATTCTTGTGTATGCCACTGAGAAATAATGAATACACAGAAAAAAGCCAGATAGACAGAAGGAAATCCACATCAAGTGTCAAGTTTACCACAGCAAGAAAAGAAAATAGTGGCGTGCCCACACATTACCCTGTGTGCCTGACTGGCATTATGTACTAGACCCAGACTCCCAGGCAGGAGTTAAGAATGACAACTAAAGAGAATTACATTAACCAGAAAATAACAACAGTGGCTGAAGAGAAAAACAAAAAAATCTCTAACTTTTGACAATTTATCATACAAAATGACAACCAGAAGATTTTAGCATAGAAAAGATAACACAATGGTTATCTCTGCTAACAGCCACTCAGATAATAAACAATAATATATAACAAAGGCTCTACATCTCTTCCTTTACCTATCCATGTATTACAATCAAATAGCAATAATGTTCCAGGATGCTATCTGTTTAGAAAAGAAGCATTTCCTAATACAGAGAAACAAATTCTCATTAAACCGTCAAAGGATTAAGTTAGAACCTATTGCCTAACATTACCTAATTTCTGAAGAATAGATTGTTAAATGTAGCGAGATAGCTCATGATAGCTGGGGCGGTCGCAAGCCTTTAATCCCAGCACTCAGGAGGTAGAGGCAGCCGGATCTTTGTGAGTTCGAGGTCAGCCTGGTCTACAAGAGCTAGTTCCAGGACAGGCACCAAAACTATAGAGAAACCCCATCTCAAAACACCAAACCAAAACAACAACAACAAAAAAGATAACTCGTGCTCTTTTTTAACCACACCACCTCCAAAAAGAAAAGACTATGCCAGACAAGCAAAACTTAGAAATCTGATGTTATATAACCACGTATTTGTCATTATTCTGATTTCAAATACATTAAATTCAAGAACAAACAAAAGGAAAGACTGTTGCTGCCAATGTTTCTAACCAGAGCTGCAGGGAGCAAACGTACAGCACATGAGCCCTCCTATTATCACATGTGGGATCATCACTCCTCCAAAAAGGCACAGCCATTTGTAACCTACTAACTCATGTCAGAAGAGGGGATGGGTGTGGCTCTGGCACAAGGCTCCATATTCTATCCCTAGTACTACAAAATAATAAATAAATAAAAAAATAGCTGGGCATGATGGCATGTGCTACAATCCCAGCACTCTGGAATCAGAGACGGAGGGATTCCCCAATTTCAAGGCCACACAGGCTACATGATGGATAGTCTGGGGAAAGAACTTTTAGTTACCAGACGGAAGAGGAAGGTAATAAAATTCAGAAATTCAGAGTTATACCTAAGGTTAAGATGTCACAGGAAAAAGGCTCATATATTACTGACCTACCAGGAAAAGTTTTATTTTCAATGAAAAAAATTTAGGGCTGGAGAGATGGCTCAGAGGTTAAGGGCACTGACTGCTCTTTCAGAGGTCCTGAATTCAATTCCAAGTAACCACATCATGGCTCATAACCATCTGTAATGAGATCCAGCACCCTCTTATGGCCTGCAGGCGTACAAGCCGACAGAACACTGTATACATAACAAATAAATAAATCTTTTTTTTAAAGATGTATTTGTTTAAGCCAGGTGGTGGTGGCACAGGCGTTTAATCCCAGCACTCGGGAGACAGAGGCCGGCGGATCTCTTTGAGTTCGAGGCAAGTTTGGTCTACCTAGTTCCAGGACAGGCTCCAAAGCTACGGGGAAACCCTATCTCGAAAGAAAAAAAAAAAAAAGAATTTTACCTGGATGATTTGGGAAATGTGCCTTCCTAATATACAACACAAAAATAAGTTACTTGCCAGGCAGTGGTATTTAGTTCCACCACTCAGGAATCAGAGACAGGTAGATCTCTGTGAGTTCAAGACTAGCCTGTTCTAGAGTGAGTTCCAGGACACCCAGAGCTGTTATACAGAGAAACCCTGACTCAAAAAGAAAAATAAAAGAAGAAAAAATAAGTAATTTATATAGTCACAAAGATTATATGCTCAATATCCAGGCAAGATTTAGATAACCAAGTGGTATTTTATTTGAATCCAAAAATCATTCAAAAAAAAAAAAAAAGCAGTCTCAAAGATCCTGGTGTCACACAAAGATCTAAACTTTTGCGTTTAGCTACTTAAAGAAAACAAAATTACAGTTCCGATAAGATTTCCAAAAAAGAATGTAAGAAAGAAACTAGTACCAAAGAGTCCATTATAGTCTAAAAATGAGTCTGTTTTAATAAGACCTATTCTATCCAAACAGGGTACTGTCATTGGATATGGTGACATACACCTATAATCCCAGACTTGGGGGAGGAGGCACAACACAGTAAGATTGTTTCACTGTCTCTTCTTGCTTTGGAGCCTGTCCTGGAACTAGCTCTTGTAGATCAGGCCGGCCTCGGCCTCCGAGTAATGGGATTAAAGGCGTGCGCTACCACCGCCTGGTTGGTATCCTATTTTCATGCTTTTCTTTGCTCCAGGCTCGCTCTCTGTTCTTTTCTCTTGCCTCTTACTCCTTCTGTTGTCTCTAATTTCCTCTCCTGACTCTGATGTCCTCCCACTCCAAAGTGGCCTTTCACTTTCACCCTTTCATGCCTCTGCTCTCCTCCTCCTCCAATAAACCTCTTACACTGTTTCGTGCAGCATGTTTGCTTAGTGGCAGAGCTCACCGAAAGGAAACCCCTTCATGTTGGGACCCTACCCACCTGCTCCACCGTCAACCTACAACAAAAGTGCTTTCTTGTTCGCTGATGGCTCTGCCTTCCATTCAATACCAACAGTTGGGTCTCTGGAGGTTCCGCCTCTGACCACCCCTGGATGCAAGGCTTCCTTTCTCCAGCAGTCCCTCTCCTTGCCTTCTGGTTTTTCTTCAAGTCCTGGTACCAGGCGAACGTGTCTCTCTCGGCCTCAGAGCCCTTGGCCCTCTTCTTGCATGATGACATACTGAACAGATTGTGCCCACTCAATCTGATCCTCCCTGGCTCCCTGGGATGACAGCGTATTCAGGCCTTTAGATCTTCTTTCTCTACCTCACTCATTGTGCCCAATCCTCCTCTGCCTCATCCTTGGGAACTGTGTCATACACCTCCTCGCTCCCATTGGGATGTCTTTTGGAAACCCACTGACTATGTGTTTTAAATCAAATCTTGCCTCAGTATTCCTTGGACCAGACAGTTGGGGAACAGAGAGAATTCCCCATTTTCTTTTTCATTGCTCCAAACCTGCTTGCATCTGTTTGCTCTCCCTCTCTAAATGTCCTGTCTACATTAGCTGCAAAGTGGGAGTCAGAGTCGTAGACAGTCCTTGGGAAAGGAGCTAACCGCTCCTTATAAAACACCCTTGTTAAAATGTCACAGGAACTTCACCTGGACTGGGACCCTGCTTCAGAGGACACCGAGAGCAACTGCCTTGTCTCCAATTCAGGAAAATGAGGCTTCACCCCAGAGCTGCGCCAACTCTAGTGGATTAGGAACCCCAAATGGAAGTGGATGCCTTTATACCTGACCCATCTCCTCGTTCTCCTACCTTTAACAACCACTCTCTGCTTCATCTATTTCTTCTCTATTTCTATCCAAGGATACATTCAAAAATCTCTGATCAAACAACTGATCAGCTATTGTTACAGGACCAACAATCGTTTAGTCACAGAACTGGAGGTGCAAGACTACCTACCAAACATGTCCAGGTGGTGAAAACCAACAGCACCCCAGAAGTATCCATGTACCCCCGACTCAGAAAATAGACGTAACTATTAATGTAATTCTTTACTATTCCTTTATTTAAAATGTACTAACTCTACAATAACTGCCCTCAGTAGTCAACCACCTGTGTTTCCTGGTGAACTGGACAGAAAGAGGGTGTCCAGGTGATGCCTTGGTGATGGGAAAGAATCAGGCACTTTACGGTTTGTTTACATAAAGAAACTTAACTGGTGACAAGGAAAAGTGACTTCAGAAGTGTAAAAGATTGAAACACGTCCCAAATTTCTCTCTCACTATGCTACTGTTATAGTCTTAACATCAATTGAGGAATCCTGATAAGCTATTAACGACAGAGTACCACACTATGAGTACACCACCTTTCCTGTAATGTGGTTTTGGTGCAGATTACAAACGGTGGGAACGCTAATGTGTCTAAAGCTCATCTTTTCACAAGCTCAAAGAATTCTTGTCAACTCCAGGAAGTCAACTTGGATCCACCTTGAATAGCATCTTGCCAGGTCCAAGAGGCACGGGAGGGTCCCACAGAGTCTGGAAAGCAAAGTGTAATAGCCAGCTATTCCTGGACTTGGCCAGCACCCCAGCTCTCTCAGGCTCCCTCAAAGATTGCAACGCCCCCAGGTCAGCAGGAAGCAGTCTCAAGAATACTGAGTCCTCATCCCCACTTCACCTGCTACCCCTTTCTAATAAGCAAAGGGAGGTACGCTAGCTTTCAGGTGTTTGTACTGGCCTGCCCTCAGCTGCAGCCACTAAGAGCACCCCCTATGCAGTCACTACATTTCCTTATAGGCGGGTCTTGCCCACCTCCAGTCTCTCTTTATCTTCCTTCACTCTTGTCCTCAAGAACCAGTCTCTGCCCCTTCTCTCTCCTCTTCCAGTAAACCTCCAATGTGAGCTCTGTCGTGTGGCATGACTCTCTCCCGCTGTTTTTTAAATTATAATACCATCTGCCTCCTTTTAAGACAGGGTCTCACTACATAGCCTTGGCTGGCCTGGAACTCACTATGTATACCAGCTGAGATAAACGCGCTTGCCCCCGCCTGGGCTGTCAGTGCACCACATGCTTGATTAATGCCTACAGAGAGAGGCAGAAGAGGGCATCAGATGGCCTAGAACTAGAGCTGTTGTTGTCACCATGTGGGTCCTCTAAAAGTGTGACAAGTGCTCTTAACCAGTGTGCCAAATCTCCAGACCCTCAACCCCCAGTCCATCAATGGATTGCTTGGTAGAAAAAGGTACCTGCCACCAAGCCTGATGACCTGGCTCAGTACCTGCAAGATTGAATCACTAATTCCGTAACTGTTCTCGGGTTGGAGAGATGGCTTGGAGGTTAAGAACACTGGCTCTTCCAGAGGTCCTGAGTTCAATTCTCAGCACCCACATGGTGGCTCCCACCATCTGTAATGAGATCTGGTGCCCTCTCTTTGACCGTAACTGTTCTCTGACACATACTTGTATACCATAGCCCATGCACACCCACACACATATATACACTTTTTAAAAAATGAAAAACGTAGCCAATTTTTAAAAAAGCTTCGATATTTTTTGAGGCAGGGTATATGTTCACACCAGCACTCCCAAGACTGCCAATAAAGTTTACCAAGAATCAGACGGCGGAGTCATTGATTCGCTGACCGGAATTAGCTATAGAGGTTTTAGAGGACTGAGAAAACGGCATAGGAAGTAGCAGGGAGGGGCTCAGAGAGATGCTCTAACCTTTTTGATCTGGGAAGCATGGAAAGGCAGAGTCAGCTGATGGGTCCTCCATCACTCTTTGCTCCAAGGTAAACTTTATTGACAATCTGGAGTGTCAGTGCAAACAAATATTCCACAAAACATAGCCCAGGCTGACCAGGAACTCAGAGATTCACCTACCTCTACACCACAGAATGCTGCAATGGAAGACTTATGCCACCATGTTTGGTAGCATCTGTATTTTTTGTTTTTTAAGACAGGGTATCTATAACAGTTCTGGAACTCACTTTGTAGACCAGGCTGGCCTCAAACTCACAGAGATCTACCTACCTCTGCCTCCCAAGTAGCATCTGCATTCTTAAAGTTAACTGACAGACACTCAGTGGACACACCTGTAATCCCAGCAATCAGGAAAGCAACCAGAAAGTAATGAGTTTTGTACAAAGCAGGGAGGTGGAGGGGGGGGGGGAGACAGACAAACATTTCATACACTAAAAAAGGCAGATTTGATCTGGCATAGTCCTAGAATAGAACAGAAATGTTTAGGGTGCTTCTAATTAGAAACTGAATATCCAAACCCAGCATGGTTAACATATCTGCAATCCCAGCTACTGAGGAGGCTGAGACTAAAGAATCGAAAATTCAAGGCTTTGAAGCTATTGAGATGATTCAAGGATTAAGAATGTGTACTATAGCTGGGTGGTGGCAATGTGCGCCTTTGCACTTGGGAGACAGAGGTAGGCACATCTCTGAATTCAAGGACAGCCAGGATTTAATAGAATAAGCCTGTCTTGAAATATACATGCATACATATATACATACATACATAAATATTAAAGGTGTACTTTTTGTGAATGAATGAATAAAAATTGAAAGTGTACTGCTCTTGTAGAAAATTCAAGTTTGTTTCCCAGCACTGTCAGGCAGATTACAACTACCCGTCCCTGTCTTCCAAGTTGGTGGTAATTTGTAATTTGTCTGTAGTGAGCAAGCATTTGGTACATGTGAAACCCTGGGGTAGAGTTCCAGTACCCCCACACACACACCATTCATATGCTAATTTGAAGAACCATAAAATAATTTGGGTATGGTATTGAAGATTGACCCTGGGGTCTTACACATGCTGGGCAAGTGCTCTACTACTAAGCTATATTCTCAGATCCCATTTTTTAAAAGATTTTTATATATTTCTTCTACTTAATGTACATAAACATTATTCCTAAATGTTTCTGTATGCAAGCCTGATGCTTGGCGCCTGTGAACACCAAGAGAGGGGCTGGAGTGATGGCTCAGTGGTTAATAGCACTGACTGCTCTTCCATGTGGGTTCAAGTCCTAGCACCCACATGGCAGTTCACAACTGTCTGAAACTCCAAGATCTGACATCCTCACATGGACAGACATGTAGCAAAACACCAATGCAAATAAAATAAAATTATATTAAAAAATAAATTATATTAACAAAAAATTATAATATAATAATATAATAAATTATATTTTAAAAAAGAAAGCCAAAAGAGGGCATCAGATCCTCTGGAACTGTTGTTTTGTTCACATCTTCTGGAACTGGAACACATCGTTATGAGCCTCCACATGGTGTTAGGAATTGAACCCAGGTCCTCTGTAAGAACCAAGTACTTTTAACCCTGAGTCATCTCCCCAGGCCCCTAGCCTCCCAATTTTTAAATACAAAGTAAAAATCACTGGCTGAATAGTTAACACTTCTACCCACCTTCACTCCAAGTTCTCACAAAGTCAAGGCCTGGGAACAAAATCTATCTTCGAAAGCAAGAGGTAGAGAAAAGGCCATTTTTGTCCTCAGTCTTTTTCTGGCCCGATACTCCAGGATTGTGACAAAGAACCTGGCATCAACAAACCTCACAAAAAATCGCTGCCAATGCCTAGAAGTCTTAGCCAGCTTGATTTGTTTCCATTAACAGTTTTATGCTGAGATAGACCACTGCCACTAGGTGGCGGCAAACTACCTCCAAGACCAAATCAGATTTAGATCACGAGGATTTCCTGAAATTCCAAAACAGAAATAACATCTCACATTTTGTGTGACTTATTTAACACCACTTAACACAGTAAGATGGAATTTACATATCACCAACTATATAACCACCATTCTAGAATATGACATTCTGGACTTAAGTTATATGTTAATACCTTTATACTATTACAATCAAAATAAAAATTAAACATGATCATTTATGCCAGTGTAATATGCATGCAATAAAACTGAATGAGTACATTCTGATAATCATAGCAATCAGAAACTGAGGTGGGAAGACTGAGTTCAAAGCTATCCTGCACTTCAGGAGAGACCTTATTGGGGGCAGGCAGAGAGGGGTCTAGAGATGAAGCAATGATAGACTAAGCACTTGCTGCATAACACTGGGCACTATCTCTAGCACTGTAAAACAAAATTGCACACTATCATTACTATTCATTTAATAGAATAATAAATCTATAATCCAGCTAATAACTTAAGAGGCTGAGGCAAGAGTGTGAGTAAAAGGCCAGCCTGGGCAACACAATGAAATTCTATCTCCTTAACTTGTCTTACCTG